CACAACGCACAGCAAATCTGCAATTTCGAAGCAAAATAAAAATGTGTAGTGCTAATAAAAATTTAAATGCTCGTACCGCAGCATATTCTCAGGCGCTTCAGCATGTTGTGTCAGATGCTCAAACGACTTTTCCACATTCAACAAACCGCTGCCTTGGGCAAATGGATCAACGTAGCCAAGTTTGGTGGCAGTATTGGTGATGGCTCGCTTGATACTGTAGGGTGAATACTTAATGCCCTTTTGTTTGAGACCGGAAATTAGAATCGCTGGGGAATGAAAAAAAGTATAAATTACAAAATTTTTAAACAAATATTTATAGACGTACAAATTGCGCCCGCCACATGTGGTGCTGCCATACTGGTGCCATTCATTAATTGCGATTTGCTCATTGTAAATTGTGGCACTGAAGTGATAGCGCCGCCGGGTGCACAAACCGTTACACCTTGACCGCCATCAATGCAGGGATCGCGTGAGGTCCATGTGTAGACGTTGCCAGGCAATTTTTCACGCATCACATATTCCGCTTCCATCATTTGCGGCGAGACGTAAGCGCCAACACCTAAGTGGACAAAAAAACATTTACAAAAATTATTTTTATTAATTAAATGTTGTTTTTTTAAATATACAATTTTAATGTAATTTAACTTTAATGTTAATTTTTTTTTTTTGATATTGAATATTAATTTACCATTTTTTAATAAAACTTTTTATATTATGTTTTTTTCAATATACATATGTATATAAAAGTTTAATTATAATTTTTTATATAAAATTTCACTTTTGATTCTTTTTTTTATAAAAATTCAATTGAAAAAAAAATAATTTTAACTTATAAAATTTTAAGTTTACTTAATATTTTTATTTTATATAAAATTAAAATTTTTATATTTTTTATATTATTTTAATTTTGTTTTGTTTTTTATAAATATTCAATTTTAAAAAACATTTCTTTTTATAAAACTTTATATATACTTTTTTTTTGTATTTTAAAAATTAATTTTAAGTTTTTTTATAAAATTTTAAATATAATTTATATTTTTTTTTTATAAAATTTATATTTTCATTTTTTATAAAATTTAATTTTTTATTTTTTTTTGAAAATTTAAATTTTTATAAATTTTAATATAAAATTTTAATTTCAATATTGTTTGATACACAATTGTTCAATTTAAAAAAAATAATTTTAACTTTTTTATAAAATTTTAAGTTTACGTTATATTATATTTTTATTTTATATAAAATTTAAATTTTTATGTTTTTTATATTTTAATTTTTTTTTCTTTTTAATAAATATTCAATTTTAAAAAACATTTCTTGTTATTAAACTTTATATATAATTTTTTTTTGTTTTTTAATATTTAATTTTAAAAATTAATTTTAAGTTTTTTTATAAAATTTTAAATATAATTTATATTTTTTTTTATCAAATATAATTTTTTTTTTTTTTTTTATAAAATTTAATTTTTTTTTTTTTGAAAATTTAAATTTTTATAAATTTTAAAATAAAATTTTAATTTTAATATTGTTTGATACACAATTTTTTTAATATAAAGCTTTAAATAAATACATTTAAATTTAAACTTTTTTGATGTAAAGTAGTAGTTTTTTTATTTATTTCATTTATGATTCATTTTTTAAAAATTCAATTTTAAAAAAATAATTTTAACTTTTTTATAAAATTTTAAGTTTACTTTATATTTTTATTTTATATAAAATTAAAATTTTTATATTTTGTATATTATTTTAATTTTGTTTTGTTTTTTATAAATATTCAATTTTAAAAAACTTATACTTTTTATAAAACTTTATATATAATTGTTTTTTTTAATATTTTATTTTAAAAATTAATTTTAAGTTTTTTTATAAAATTTAAAATTTTATTTATATGTTTTTTATAAAATTTATATTTTTTTTTATAAAATTTATATTTTCATTTTTTTTATAAAATTTATATTTTCATTTTTTTTTATAAAATTTAATTTTTTTTTTTTATAAAATTTAAATTTCAATATTGTTTGATACACAATTTTTTTATATAAATCTTTAAATAAATAAATTTAAATTTAAACTTTTTTGATATAAAGTAGTAGTGTTTTTTATTAAACTTTTTAATTTATTTTTTAGTTCAAAAATTTAAATTATATTTTTTTATATTTTTATTTACATTTTTTTATATATAAGTTTCATTTAAATTGTTTTACTCACCAATACAACTAGGTTGACTAATATCGGGTGGTGTGCCAACAGTGCACAAGGCTGGTCCATGATTACCGGCAGAGGCTACCCACACAACACCGTATTTATTCACAACTTCGCTCATTAGCTCACCAATGCGACTAAATAAAACATAAACAACAACAAAGAAGCAGAATAAAGATTAAAAAATTATTGAATTTTAGTATTTACGAGCACGGAAAGTCAACATGAGGCAACAATAATAAAAATAAAAAAAATTCTAATTATTTAAAACAATTAACACAGCAAATACTGCTACTAAGGCAATAACATATGAATTTACTTTGAAATTTTGCTAGTATTTGTGGTTGCGTGCAACAAAACGCATTGTTAATCACAATTCAATTAAAAATGTTAATCAAAATGTATGCGCATACGTCTAACAATGAAAGAAAAGGCTGGAAATATATTACCTCATGTAGGCTTTACGTTTCCTTTTACGTTTCTTATCGACAATCAAAGGACTTTCATATTGATATATTTGACTTTTTGAAATTTAAGGTTTTTGATTTTGTGAAATTCATTTCAATCAATTTCAAAGTAGATTCGTTTAGTTGAATTTTGAAAATTAATTTAATAGGTAATTTAATAATATTATAATCAAAAGCGACAAGCCGTGCAACTTACCCGGCATTGGACCAGTGCGCATGTTCACCGTAACTCATATTGATTACGTCTATTTTGGTGCCGGAGCGACATAATTCCATAACTTTCATCATGCCACGCACCAGCGCTGTGCCTGTCTCCATCGAACCTAAACGCCCATCACCGATTGTAATGGAGACAATGCGGGCATTTGGCGCAACACCGTCAACATCTTTGGAAGCGTGATTGCCACTGGCAATGGAAGCGACATGTGTGCCATGAGACGCTGAAAATGGTAAGCAAGAAGCATAAATGTATAAATAAAAAATATTTGTTTTTATTTATACGTACAGCACATGCCCACAATCTCGAGCACATCACCGTTATCATGCACATTCATTGATATGGAGAAGAAATCATCTACATTCTTTATTTCATGAGTCTTCGAGTACTCGCCAAGATGCAGCGCGTTCTCAAGGTCACCCTAAATATTAAAACAAACATTTTTTTTATAAATAATGCTCTCTTTTTTTTTTTTGTCATGCCCACCTTTTCCGTAGTATCCACGACTGCTTGCCAACCGTTGGCGGTCTGATACAAAACACAGTCATACGTTGTTCTTATGTCCTTGTATATCTTCTCATAATTGTTTAACATTTCTAAAGTGTTATCCAAATCTTCTTTAATCAATTTCTTATCCCAGCTCAATTTCGTTAAATCTGCGGACGAATTTATGTTATAAATCAAATACAAAAACGTTATATTTTACTGCAGTAACCTGAATTTTGTGCTTCGAATTCGGTGATTTTGCGTGAAATTGCAGCAGTGGCCAGTTTATTGGGGCCATCCCAATCCTTGGTTTTATAAAAATTGGTTATGTTCTCTCTCACTTTGAATGGGCACAAGTCATGGAAGTTTTTCATACCTATGCGATACTCGCCATTGGCAGTGTTAGCAGCAGTCATTTGAGGTGACAACTACAATAGTGATCAGATATAGATAAGAAGAATTGCAAATATAATATACTTTATACATATAATGATATAAATAAACAAAACAAAGAACGCCATGTAATTGCGAATGAAATATTATTAGATTTTTGTTATAAGCAGATAAGTACACACACTTATACAAATGACTTATGTGGATATAAATATTTATACAGACCGATTAATTGTGCTAAAATGCTTAATCATGCGAAATTTTTTTGTACGCGACGTTATTTTGTGCCATATAATATGCATATAACTGAATTGACACAAAATGAATATAGTTTTTTGTTCTTTTTTGTAAAAACCAATTGAGTTTATTTTATTCCAATTATATTAGGCTACTCACAAACTTCGTACGCTTACTTTAAGTTGGCGTCCAGAACAGCCCGTGATGAAACCTTTATCATTGGCTTTAACTTTTTTAGACATCTCAACGTCACCACAACCAGTGCAGTCATAACGCTCGATCACCTTCACTGATTTACCGTCACACAGCGTCTATTGAAAATATGAAAATTATATAGAATACAATTTTTATTTAAAAAACTAAATCATAACCTCTAATTTTTAAATTCTAACAACAAGAAATTACTTGCCTCCAAACCCGCTGCACGCGGATCGACGCCGGAATCGAAAATGGCGATCACGGTGTCACGCCCATCGTAATCGGGATACTTTTGTAAGAAATTGAGTACTCCCGTTTCAGCTTTAGGCACCAATGCTCCGCTCGGAAAAGTAGCTTCTATGATACCACTGCTATTGCTCGCCGCCATTGTTGCTTGTGGCTGCTCCTGCTCTACCTTTTCACCTTTAGTTAGCTGCTGGTTAACAACGGTACTAATCGTTACGTATCCTCTGATTGTACGCAGGCTCTTTACAATTCTGCTTAAATTCGCTGCTGTTTTTATAGCACCTTTGCGTTGGAAAATAAGCAATAAATTACTGAAATGTTGATTTTAACTAATTTAAATCTAATTGACAATAAATTGTCTGTCCGAAATGTATAATCAACAATTTTTTCTGCCGTCTATGGAAAGAACGATGAAAAGCAATTGTCACCGTTTTGTAGATGTCAGTTTTGTAGGTTCTGTATTTGTTGTTGTTTCGTAAATTTGCCGTTTTGTCAGAGAACGTATATGCGGCCGGTGACAGCTAAATTTTGTTGTGTAATGTAATTTCACTTACGATAGATGTCGCTTTGAGAAACTTGCAATTCTAATGAGCCCGACAAATTTCGTAACAATTATTTCTAAATTTATTTTTATAAACATTCAATAACACACGGAAAATTTTTAAATAAATAAATGTGAATGGAATACAAAAAAGAAAAAAAAGTAAGTGACGTAAATACAATTTTTCTGAAAATATTGTGTTTGTTATCGATAGCTAAGCACAAATTCTATTTAACCGACGTTAAAATTCTTAAGTGTGTAGCAATGCTGTCTATTTATTGACAGCTAACAGCTGATCAAACTGTCATTTCTGCTACTCGCTGTCAAATTATTGTGAAAAAAGTTTGTGTTGGTGAGTGAGATTTCGTTGGAAGTTGTTTCGTTGTTTTACAAATTCTAATATATCAAACTAAAGTAAAATGTGGTTCGAAATCTTACCTTCAGCCGGCATTATCACAGTTGTACTTGCGGTTCCTGTGTACGCTATGTGGGGTCTTAACAAATTGACCCTTGGCAATGTAAGTAAATGTTGGTTGAGGTATATTCCGGATGACACAGTCAACTTATATAACTGTGTGCTGGATCGCAGTGCTTCGCATCTTTTCAACATATTAGTATTTAATTCAATTTATAAATCTTTATGACAGTTGCTTCCTACATTAAGTGTTTGCTTATTACATTATATTTTTAACTACTCTATAGGCCTACCGCCGCAATATGGACGAACGTTTCGATCGAATGTTGTATCAACGCGACAGCAGACTAACCAACAATCCGTACATTCAGAATGTGAGTATCAACTAGTTGGAAAATTATAATAGTTTCAACGAGTGCTTGTTTATCAACAAAAGCAAAAGTTGGGATTGTAGCGCTATTAGCTTTTTGCAATATTTTTTAAGTTTTTTGGCATAATTGGAGATTTTTGTTTTTAATCTAAAAATGAAAAAATAGCAAATTAAATTTGTCAACTGTTTTAATTGCGAAATGTTTCATGCAAACTATTTTTTCTAGCATAATAAATAGATAATAATTGTTTAATGGGCACAAATCGGTAATTTTATAGATACTAAAGTGTCATTATGGCCAAATCGAATATATGAAAATATATTTCAATTAAATAATACTTGTATATGTATATATCCGTATATTCTCCAGCCTATGATAAAATAATATTGATAATATTGTTTTTGTAATAAAACATATGTAGAAAACGTAGAAAATGACTATATCATCTGCTAAGAAGTCTAATTTGTTAAATTTAGCGTAAAAGTGTCGGTTTATTGTTTTTAAGTATATGCAAATCTATTTATTTTAATATTTCACTACATCGAAAAAATTTATTCAGTTGTAGTTACAATTAAAAAGTAGGCCCCTTTATTGCGTATTCATAATTTTTTTTTTCATTCCTACAGGGCTTGGATTCCATTCCAGATGAAGAAAGTAATTAAACGTCGTGTATATATGCAATTAAACCACATTTATAGTGTAACATTAATGAAAGATATCAAATAAAACATGTAAAACAAATATTCCTCCTTATTTCCTTGATAGTGTAATCTAGCCAAATCAGCTGTTGAGTTTTTGTATTTTTCTTCCTCTTTGCGTAGTCCTTTATGTGCGGTGAAACATCCCTGTGCTGAAGGAAAAACCACCCTTAAGTTGCCTACTATCAATTATCCTCCCAATTGTCAGTCACACTTCATAAGGCGTCTTCAAAGGCAGAAAAAATAATTTCAGCACAATTCAACTGCAAAATATTGTAAAATATAGTATACTTTATTATTAACTTATTACTAAAGTTATATTAAAGCTACTTGATAGTTAAAATGTTAAGAGGACATCATAAAAATAAGTGAAAACTACAATTTTTCACATTTTCCAACCCAAAGGCGATACGATGAAGTGGTCGTGTATTGTGCAAAAGGGGGCGCAACTAACAGAAAACACCAGAAGCCATTTGGCACTAGGTGTGGGGAATAGTGCGGCTGTTAGTGTTAAGCTTAAGAGGAAATGTGGCAAAGGCGGCAATTTCGCTGTGGGCCACTTTATCGATGCTTGTTGTTTTTTTATTCGGACTTTTGTTTTGCTCGCGGTGGCTGCGGTATTTTTGTTTACAATCGACAGCGTCAATGCCGTCGCTACTTCATTGAAGGCGCCACTCGAAGGGGATAGTGGAACAACAGCGGGAGGGCGACATCACCATCAACACGCTGCCGTGAATGCCGCAGTATTGCACGAATACGAGCGCGAGGAGAAGGGCTATTGTGCGCCGTACAATGGTATAATTTGTAAGCAATATGTAAGCGGACAGGTATGGTATAGTCGTGAAGATCCTACGGGCGGCTGGAAGAATGAGCAAATAACAACCGCATTGTGGGAGGAATTAATTGCAGACCTTACGGGATTATGCCGCCAAGCGGCAGAGGTGAGTGGCCGCACCAGTCATACAATTATTGTAATAAGCTTACCAAGTTAATCTTTATAATTCCTCATAGAAAATGTTGTGCGCCTACGCATTCCCCCAGTGTCAAAGAGTAAATGGAAGTACAATAAAGGTGCCGTTATGCTATGAAGATTGCACAGCGACACATCTACAATTCTGCTACAACGATTGGGTGTTGATTGAGGAGAAGAAAGAGCGTAATATATTTCTAAAGAGTCGTTTGCATTTCCGCTTGCCCAACTGTGGCGTGCTACCAAGGCACAATGCCACCGCAAAGAAACCGAATTGCTCGTACATTGGACTAACGGAGCTCAAAGAAGCTGAAGTAAGCTGTAAGTGTAACAAACTAGTGAATTAAATATGTATGTAATATTTTACTTTTAATAGACGATTGTCGGAATGGCAACGGTCGTTACTACCTCGGCACGGTAAATGTGACAAAATCGGGTTTGCCATGTCAACGCTGGGACGTGCAACATCCGCACAAACACATCCAACCGCCACAGGTGTTTCCACAAATAGCGCATGGTGAAAATTACTGCCGTAATGCCGGTGGTGAAGAACCCTATCCGTGGTGTTACACGCTGGACGAGTCTGTTCGCTGGCAGCACTGCGATATACCACTCTGCCGTAAGTGCAAATATAATAAATTAAGATAAACTTTGATTAACATACATTTCACGCAATTTTACAGCGGACTATATTGATCTGACTGCCAAAGATCTCAACACACCCATAAAAATGGAAACCTTTTTCACACCATCAATGATCTTCCTACTTGCCGGCATCGGTTTTGTTGGCATTGTGGCGCTGCATTTGATTATTTTACTGGTACATAAAATATCCAAGCACAAAGAGTTTTCGTCGCAACAACAACGCCAACCAGTACCAACTTCCGAGTGCAATGTTACGATGCGCGGCGGTGGCGATTGCAATTTGACAGAGAGCAGAGAAACTTTAGGTTCTAATAATGCGGTAGCCATAAGCAACAAGTGTGGTACCATTAAAAGTACAGCAACAGTGCACAGTGTAGCTGAGCCCAAAACAAATTTAAACACCAAATTGGAGAAACTGGAATATCCGCGCGGCGATATTGTCTATGTGCGTTCGTTAGGGCAAGGTGCTTTCGGTAGAGTATTTCAGGTAAGTTTTTGTTGTTTTAGTTAGAAAATTTTGAACAATAAATGATTTGATTTGGGCTTTGTATTATCACCATCAATCGACTAGGCTAAAGCACCCGGTCTTGTACCAGGCAACGATGACTATCTGGTCGCCGTGAAAATGTTAAAAGACGATGCCAGCGATCAAATGCAAATGGATTTCGAGCGTGAGGCCTGCCTCTTGGCCGAATTCGATCACGCCAATATTGTTAAGCTGCTCGGCGTATGCGCATTAGGTCGACCTATGTGTCTGCTCTTCGAATTCATGTCACCTGGTGATTTGAGTGAATATTTACGCGCCTGTTCACCCTATGCCACACATCAAATACAACAACGCAATCGACAGGAATTGAATGAGGGTCACTTATTACAGATAGCGGCACAAATTGCTGCCGGCATGGTTTATTTGTCCGAACGTAAATTTGTACATCGCGACTTGGCCACACGCAATTGTCTAATCAACGAACAAATGGAAGTGAAAATTGCCGATTTCGGTTTATCACATAAAATATACTTGCAAGACTACTATAAGGGTGATGAGAATGATGTTATACCGATACGTTGGATGCCACTCGAAAGTATATTGTATAATAAATTCTCCATTGAATCGGATGTTTGGGCTTATGGCATATGCTTGTGGGAGATATTCTCGTTCGCATTGCAACCCTACTTCGGGCTGACACACGAAGAGGTGATTAAGTTCATCAAAGAAGGCAACGTGCTCAGCTGTCCGGATAATACGCCGCTATCAGTGTATGCTTTGATGCGTCGTTGTTGGAATCGTAAACCAAATGAGCGTCCCAGTTTTGCTGAAATCAATCATTGTATACAACACAGTTTGGTGGAGTATGAGTGCAAAACGATGATGTAGAGCACATGGGGAAGTGAAAAAAGTATAGTGGTAATGAAAAAGTAACTGTACTTATTTGCAACTGGCCATATACAATACATAAATACATCCATACATATACATATATACAAACAAATATTTTAGTATAAGTAACAACAACAAACACTTCCGTTCGAAAATACTCAGCAGTGGTTGGTTTAAAATATAAGTTTATAAGAAATAGCAATAGTTTCGTAGAAAAGAATTGTGTAACAACAACAATAAGCACTAAGCACAAATTATGCATTTACAATTAGTACTTATATAATAATACTTACGAAATAGTACACAGAAAAGTTGTGTTCAGGCAATAATTTATGTAGTTGTGTGCAACGTATGCAGTCCAGCTCAACAAGTTTCCTTACTTTTATATATATTTTTATTAAACAAGTATACTCAGTCATCTATTATAAGGTATATTTGAATTTTGTGCGTTAACTTCGACTGTATCGAAGCTATAATACCCCTCACAGGTGCATTTCTTATAACAAAAAAAGGATATAAAAAGATATTTATTTCGGAAAACGTACCGTTACCTTGGATAATAATCCATGCCAAATTTCATGAAGATATCTCGTCAAATAAAAAAGTTATCCATACAATGACTGGATTCCGATTAATCAGTTTGTAAGGCAGGTATACGCTATAGTGGTCGAATATCGGCGGTTCCGACAAACGAGCAGCTTATTGCGAAGAAAATTTTGTGTGCAAAATTTCCCATCGATATCTCCAAAACTGAGGGACTAGTTCGCGTTATATACAGACAGACTTGACAATTTTCGTATCAAACTTAATATGCCCTGTTCAGGGTATACAAAATATGAAATTTAATTTTTCAATAGTTATAGTTTTTTTTTTATAACAAAAATCTTCCTCAAACACGTTCCAATCATCGAGCAGCGCTAGTCTGCACTATTCAACTCAACGAATTATACTGATAATTTTTATATATTTATATATAAGCATACAATAATGCATCAGCAGTCAACATATCCGATGGATTTTAAATTAAACTAATAATTTTACAATAACAAAGTAATTTAGGTTGCTATGAGTACAATATTTTTTAATAATTTATGCACAAAGCAAATAAAAGAGATTTATTTGTAAAAATATATATTATAAAAAAAATATTATTAAAGTCAATATATACACATGTACATAATATACAGTGAAACAAACAAGCATAATACAGACATAATTGCATATTGTATAACAAATAACCGATGTTTGTGTAATAAATAAATAAAATTTCAAAAAAAGACACTACAAATTTTCATACTAAATAGTAAGCAATGCGTACCATGTTTATAAATATATACATATGTAGTTTCTTATTAAATAAAAATTGGTGACAACAGTAAAGGAAAATGTGTATTGGAATAATGCTCATTTATATATTATATATAAGAAAATATATGCTCTAAAATTTTTTTTTACAAATATTATTTATATGTACATATATATATATTTTTTTTTTAATAAATATTATTTATAATTTATTTTAAATATATATATATAAAAAAATATACACTAAAAAAATTTTTTTTATTAATATATATTTGTATTTATATTTTTATTTTTTTTTATTATTATTATTTATAATTTATTTTTTTTTTTAAATATTATTTATAATATATATTTTTTATATAAGCTGAAAGCCTCTGAAGCTAGTGCTCCTTTTACTTTGTAAAATAATAATTGTATTATTATTTTTCATATAATAAATAAATAAATAAATTTTTTATATATTTAATTTGTTATTATGGTAGTTTTGTATAATAAATATTTTTTATTATTATAATAATATTTTTTTTTAATATTACTTACTATCAGATTTGCAAATAATACACTAGAAAATAATTGAATTATCATTTGAATACATCTTTTTTTGTAATCCCGAAAAACTTAATTTTTAAAAAAATTTTAAAATTTTAATCCCACTTACGGGATACAAAAAAAAATTGATCTCAAATATAGGATTGAAAAATAAAAAAGTGTCTAATCCCAAAAACCGAATTGAATTTATGTTTTTAATCCCAAACTTCTTGCATTGATAATTAAATTTTCAATTACGAATTATACTAATAATTTTTGTATTGAAATAAATTTATTTTTTTAATACCAATATCGGAATTAAAATTTGAAAATTTAATTAATTGAAAATTGAAAATTAAATTTTCAAATCAAAATTTTTTTAAACAAAATTTTGTAATCTAAAGTTTTTGAATTAAAAAATTCGCAACACTGCACTTTTAATTATTAATTAATATAATTATTTTTTATAATATTTTGTAAATAATTGTAACTAAACTTCCAACTCAACATTTAGTAGTAGTTGTCATAACACGCCCAAGGATGGTAATAACAGTAGGGCCGCGCGTAAGGTGCATACTCTACAACTCCCACTCCACCAACGACAACGGGCGCTCTCCGACCATATCTTCGATAACCGCCACCGTAATATCTACCAAATCCAGGTCCAAAAATGGCGGCGCCACCTCCGCGGCCAAATCCTCTGCCACCAAATCCACCACGACCACCACCAAATCCTCTGCCGCCGTGACCACCACCGTGACCGCCACCATGACCACCCCCGCCCCCGTGTCCACCGCCACCGCCACCTCCTCTAGCGACCACCATTTGGCAAACACAAAACAGTAGCAAAATAGCTAGGATCACTTTGAGAACCAGTTTAGACATCTTAAAATGGCAACGACTTGTTTTCGACTGAAATTCCATTGCACAGTTATTTAACTCGAGAAAGAATTATTATGATCTACTAATTAGTACAGATGCTCTAATTAAATGAGGATGAATGAGTTGTGATTTTGCAGTACCCCTCGCCTCGAGTATGTGTGGCTTATTTTGACTTTTCTACTATTTGTTTTTAAATATATTGTTCAATAGTGTTAAGATATTATTAACTGTGTTAACTGTATGTGAAAAGTGAGAAAAACTTGACGGCGTTCCCCGTTAAATTTGTTAACTGCATAGTAAAAACTCGTTAACCTCAAAATAATACTAATGGTTCACCGCTGAGAACTTTTTAAATGTTTTTGACTGAGCTTCCGAGCCTGTTTGTTATGATTGCTTTAATTTTGACATCACAAAGGCTATCTGGTGAACGGATGACGACATACAAGGACAAATGAGCGCGGACGCGAGCACTTTAAAGACGAAAAAGCCCTTAGTCTTAGCGATAGCATGACCGGAGACCAGGCAGGTGCACCATCGGAGTCGTTGAATACGTCGTGAGTTGCCTCGGCGTATTACATTGTATCCGAATTCGCAGTGCTAGTAATAAACCGCGTCATTCCAATAGATCTACTAGCAAAGGAGAGAAGATAACACCGGTTATAGAACAATAACGGAACCAAAATATACATGTCCGAAAGACAACAGGCGAGGAAGCAAACACTTGAACTCTGGCTAAATCGGTCATAAATTTTTTCTTCCTGTATTGTAATACCTGTACAACATTGTAAAAACAGTAACTCCAGCATACATTTACGGCGACGAACCACCAACTTAAAGGGGGGAAATAACAGTCGACGAAAAGTGGCCACGTAGAATTGAGCTAATAGAAGACGAGCCAAATAGCTCGATGCTGGCTACACAATCATGGGCAGCTCTGGACGCAGGTAGAGTAGAAACTAACCTGTAAAAGGTTCATATCGGACAAAAAACTATCTTATGGAATTTCAATCGATTTGGATCTAATAATCAGGTATTAAACCCACATGTACTTTTTAGCTTCCACATTTTAATGTTCGTTCATATTTCGCGTGCGCTATATTATTCGAAAAATGCATACAAGCTTTTGGTGAACTACAAATAATAGTAAATCTGTCAAGATGATTTGAAAATTGGTTCGAAGATCATTTGGTTTTAAACTTCTTTAGACTAGTTTTTGTTGGAGTGCGGAAGTCAATGGTCTATCCTGAAAACCTAACACCGAACAAATGAGATCAGAATAAATTTTATTAATTAAAAATATTATGGCAATATATAATATATAATTTTATTGTAATTTATTTACATCTTAAAACATATACAATTTTTAAAATGATCATCATAAAGTTTAATGCATTTTTCTTATTATCACAGCGACTTAATCTAGTATAATTCTGATACGATATTAATTAAAGACAAATTGTTTGAACAATATTCAATAATTTGAAGCAAAGAAAATTTAACATAAAATGGCAAAAATCTTAATTATCAATTTACTAAAAAAAATCAATGTATATGTATATACTTTCAGGAGCTGCTTGTAACCACGTAGGCAAAAAAATTTTCTTAAAATTAAAAAAACAAAATTTTTGTTAATAATATTTTTCACTACAACATAATTACCGATTTATTCCTATAACTTATTTTGAATTTAATGTAAAATTAATTATATACATATTTGTTTATTATTTAAATATAAGTAGTTAATTTCGTTTGTGTGAATTTTTATGGCAAAGTTAACTATAATGTTTGTGGACAATTTTTATTTTTACTCAACACTAATCGCTCCGGATCGAGACCCAATTTCTTTAAGGCGTCGTAGATTTTCGTACGCACTTCTACAGGAAAATCGCGATCGCGTCCAAAGACCCAAATTTGATCGGAATAACCGATCGAGCCGAGACTGCCACAAGACCATAGAATCGCAAAATTCTCATAGTCCGTGTAGAGCACTTGATATTTACCAGAGCCAGGCAGTAGTCGAGCAATTACATCAGGGAAGCGGGTGTTGAACTGTGAGAGCATAAAAATACCATATTATTAAAATTTTAATATTTTGAAATTATAGCGAATGTGTAAACATAAGAAAATTACATTTTTTCTAACACTCGTAAATCATATCGATTTTATCGTTTACAAATCTAGTCCAAAAATTTTGCAACTAACTGTAATATAACACAATATTCGAGAATAAATTCTAACCTTAAAATCCATAATTGAGGATTTTCGATTCTCAGGTGTGGCATAACCCAGATTCACCGACGGATTGCCGGTTCTATTAAATAAATTATAAGAAATTAAATTAATAAGTTGAAACTTATAAAATAATTTTTATCATTTACAAATTATGTTAACTTACAATCTATTTATCGTTTTGATCGCCACCTCGAGTTCAAAATTATTAAACTTTGAGAGTTTTTCCTTATGCAGTGGTTGAAATTCCAGTAGCGTACAGCCAGATGCGATTTCGGGCAGATAAAAGGAACGCTCCACTTCATACCATTGACCAAGTACCTGAAAGTAAATGAAAGAGATTTAAATTAAAGTATAAACTTTAAAAATTTTTAAGAGCATTAAAAATATGTAAGTCAACTAAACAACTTTAGAAACCTCTCACATTGATACCCACGCATTGCAATATTTCATTTATTTTAACAACTTTTTTTATACCCTAAAGAGGGTATATTAAGTTTGCCACAATAAGAAGAAAACATCGGAGACCCTATAAAATGTATACATACTTGTATCTATATAAAAGATTAGGGTGACGAGCACATGTTCTTTTTTTCCAAGAAACTGCTCATTTTTCGGAAACGTCGATATCGGATCACTATAGCATATAGCTGTTATACAAACTGACAGATACAATCAAGTTCTTGTATGGAAAACTTTTTTATTTGCAAATATATCTTTATGAAATTTGACATGGATTATTGTTCAAGGCAAGCCTACAATATTCGCACATATTGTTCAGTTCAGTCTACTATAGCATATAGCTGTCACTTAAACTGATCGATTAAAATCACAATAAAGATCTGTTTATATCCTTTCATGCAATAGGAAATGCACCTGTGAAGGATGTTATAGCTTCGGTGCAACCGAAGTTCTCGTCATTTATTGTTATTAATATATTTTGAGCAGGTGGCAAGTCTTTTAAAAAATATTTTGTAACTCTTTCTTAAAACCATTTGGTTTGAAGCCTCTTATTTATCAGAGTTTTTTTTAACAACTTTGTTAAATTAAAATGTTAAAATAGGTGGCAGCTCTATATTTTTTTAACTGTTTGCTGACTAAATAACTTCAAAACTTGTTATATTTTGCTAATTGACAGTAAGCAAGTTACGTAAACTTTTTTAACAGGCGACAACACCCCTAAAAAGTATTCACAGAAAACTTTTTTAAAACTGTTTGGTTTGTTGTAATAATTTTATCTTCTCAATAATTTTATTAAATCTAATCAACGCGTGTATAAATAATTTTATTACTTTTACTACCTATGTGTAAAATCTTCAATTCATTTATTTCCCTTAAATGATCCGCGTATTACACTGGCGGACTGGGCCGGTTCATGCCACTTGTATAGTAGTTTAGAACCAGTTGATTTACTACCGGGTATTTATGTGGATATGAAGTCATACAAGTATACTTATCTATGGATGTCTATATTGATTTAAATATAGTATTTCAAAAATTGTCAAACATAATTATTTGTTGTCATAAATATTTGCCAATTATGGGTTAGGCGTCTAAAGTTAGCAAATCTATAACTAATAAATATGTTGACGCCAAGACAAAACACTGCATACTAAACAAAATTTTAATATATGTATATATAAATATAATACAATAATTATAATGATAATAACGAACAAAAAACCGAATTCGACTGAGCGTGCAATGCGCAAGCGCAAAAATATTCGCGTATACGCATGAGCGTGAGCATCAACGTTTGAGTTACGATTCAAAGAGAAACTGGTTTTCATATTTACATATATATGTACATATACATATATACAAGTATAAGTAGTATTTAAATGTACATACAAACAATCTTAGAGAAAAAATGTAAACAGAAATTACTGTTAAAATTAGTTCAAAGTCATAAATAAGCTGGAAGCAAAAGCAGATGATCAGCGCGGTGCAAGTATTTTAAAATCATTACAGAGTGGGGGGTAAAACGATAATTGTGAATATATAATTATTATTATATTCAACCCTACATACATAAACATGTGTATGTATATGCGATAGTAGTCAAGGACTTTGTACCGCGCAATTGAGTATCGCTCATGAGCTACTAAGTGACGTCAAATGGAGTAAGGGTGCCAGTCTTAGAATTGTTCGCGAAATATGATTAACAATCATGGTTATGGCAGCGATAGTGTATAATAAATATGTGCGGTAGCCAATGAACAGAAAAGAGTTAAAAACTTAGCAGAGAAATGAAAGAGATCTGTTCATATTACAAATTGATCGGGATGCTGAAATGTTGCAATAATTTTTATGTGATTAACTTGGCAGCATTCTCAATGAAGTTGTAACCCAAAAATAATTCTAAAAAAGTCCAAAGTTATAAATTTTTTTATTAAAAAAAAAAATAAAAGTTTTCGTACCGACTCAATAAATTGCGCACCCTGTTTCATATGTTTATGTGGTTTGATTTATATTTTAATAACCAATTATCTTGACATCTGTCAATCGAATTGATATGTTAATCCCCTGACACTGATTAAATGTAACCACATCTTTTCGGCTTTTCTTATTAGCTATATTACAATAAAGTTAGAAGAGTAATTTCCTATTAATTTACAAATTATTTGTAAAAAGTTTATTATGACTATTATATTTTAAGCTAAAACGTCAGCTATGAAATGAAATATAAATAAAAAAAAACAAGTTTACTTTGGCTGCACCGAAACTATAATACCCTTCACAGGTGCATTTTCTATAGCATAAATGGGTATAAAAGCAACTTTACCTCGATTTTGATCCGTCAGTTTGTATGAAAGCTATATGCTAGAGCTGTCCGATCTAAACAATTTCTTTTAAGATTGTAGCGATATATATAATAATCTATGCTAAATTTCGGGAAGATACCTTCTTAAATGAAAAACTTTTTCATACAAGGACTTATGTTTGATCGGACAGTTTGTATGGTAGCGAAAAATAAACAGCTTCCTGTGGAGAAAAGTACGTATGCAAAATTTCAAATCGATATCTCAAGAATATATATTATATATACATATACTTTATAGGGTTTCCGACGTTTCCTTCTATGTATTTATTACAAACTTCGTAGCAAGCATAATATTCCCTGTTTGGGGTATAAAAAATAAAAATAAAATAACAAGAGTGTAAAATGCCTGATTTGATTAAATAAATTCTAAAATATAAAGAAATCTATATAAATGGCAACATGTTAAAATAACATACATATGTCGATTGATATATTTAGTTCGATATTTAGATTTCTGCAGAAAATCTTGGAAAGTCTTTTGTTTTTATTTGATCAGAATTTGAAACTTCCAAATCTGAGTTATAGTTTAAAATAAGTCTTTTCATTGAAACTCGTTTAAATTATTTAGAATAACGCAAGTCATCATAATTAACTGAAGTCTACTTAAGCAACTTCAAAGTAAAAATTATTCATAATATATTTATTTTTACTGCGTACTTGAAATGTGACTACACAGTTATGGAGCTGCTCATCCTTGAGCTAATGATCAGCAGCAGATATGCAGTGTTTTGGTAGTCTTCTATGTATTACTAATTGGCTATACCTGAATATATACGTACATATACAGTTATATATTTGTGTGTACAAGTTTATCAGTATGTGTGTATATATATTTATATTTGAATACTTTATTCGGTTAATTTAATATTAATCGTTTATAAGGTATTTCTATTATTTATAGAAATAAATCCATACTCTTAAACCTAATTTTAAAGATCTTGGTGGCAGTGCATAATTGAATACGACGAAACAAACGTCTGATTTTTGTAAATTTAATAGACTATGCAGGTCGAGATGGCTGAATTTATGATTACCGATTGAGAGTGACATGATCTGAGTGACATGAAGTGTAGTTCTGTCGAAAAAAAAACAATTCAGATCCAAGCTTTGAATTTTCGACCACAAAAAATACTTGAAAATTTCTCTTTCATTTTTACAATTGATCGAACTAACGTTCTCAGCAATATTTTCAGAGAAAAGTTGAACAATGATGCGCTATATAAATCCATATTTTCTCTTTGACAGAAAAAGTTACTAAACCTCGTGGTTCTGATTTACCAGATTCCAGAAACCAGCAAATCAAATTTGACGAGAAGAAAAATTAAATAAAAGCCTAGATTGGTGCAACCTTTTTTATCTTCGTGTAAAACTTGATCTAAATATTTCAATTAGCTGTTTATTTATGAAAACATGGTTAAGGAATAGTTGAAAATATTGCCGAAGGTTTTGGGGAGAAGTACTTTATCACGAATACAGTATCTGAGTAGCACAAAGCATTCAGTGAAGTTAGTGAAGTCATCGAAAACTTGACTGTTAATGAGGATAACATCGAATATGTTTAAGGAACAGTGCTTGGTCGTGTTGGGATCACAGAGATAGCAGTGGATCTCAACATATGAATCGACTCAACAAATTTTGGTTAATGTTTTGGCTATTACGACCTGAATCTTTTGCAAAAACGACGTCGAATAGAGGTCTCAAGATAAATGCTTTATAACGCAGCTGAGCCCCTTATATTCATCAAATGCATCACTATTGGTGACGAAACCTTGATTTATGAATATGACGTAGAGACCGTACCTAAATTGTTGGAATGATGCACCAAAAATGAACCGAAACCGAAAAATCCAAAATTGCTGGTGGCATTGTAGGCCATCCCAGGCTTATGATAAGTGTATTAATATACGTGAATATGTAGCTTTTTTTTGGCAGTTCGGATCAAATTTGATCAGATTATATTTCTCTGGAGACAGGATATACTCAAAAGTCACAGCACATACTATTTTTTATAATAACTCTTAAAATAATTGATTTTTGATATGTGTCACTTGTTGGTATACCTTTCGGTTTGATACCGGGAGTGAGAGGTTGAGAGAAAACAAATGTTCTAAAATTATAGCTTCAGGCTCCGAACGATATCGAATCCACGAGCTACCAAGTGCTTACTTTACTCATTCGGCTACACTGTCGATATAGTAATAGTTACTGTTCATTCATGGAATTGATCTAGAAATAGGTTAAAGTGCAATAAAAATTTTCTTTGTTTCTACCCGTTGGGCGGATACGTAAATAAGCTGCATAAAGACACAAATTTATAATAGAAACTAAGTATAATAGTGATTCTTAAAGTAAATGACTCTTAACAAGCTTTTAATTTAATTTTTTTTTCTTTAACATTATTAAGTTCATTTTCGTTGCAGCGCAATCAATTAAAGCTCACCTCTTTCAATCAAAATAGCAGCACATTTTCGACGTAACAATCAAACTTGTAAGTATATTTTCATGAGAAAAACATAATTTCTGTAGAATCACATTGCCTGACCTCCTTTCGTTTAATCATCTTATTGAAAGCAGTCCAAAGGTTTAAGAATCAACATTAAAATGTGCTCCATCAAAAGGTCAGTACGTTTTACAACGAAAATAATGCACATAATAAGTCTTAATGTGCCTTCTAGGAAAAACTATCATGAGTATATAGTATATGTACATAGTACATACATATGTAGTACATTCATAAAATTGATATAATAGAAATAAGTATACCTAGAGTGATTAGTTTCATAAAGGCTTTATCATTTATTCATTTGTCTATTCCTAAAAATAATTAGTTAGGAATCGGATATTTAGGAATCGAATGTGGAAATAGAGATTAGTAGTGTAGTTTCAGGTTGATTGAACGTGAGAAAATAATAGAAATTAGACGGGTATATAATTTTCATCTATATTATTGTACCTATATCTGCTTGCTATGCTACGGCTCCGTTTGTATATCTTTACCCGTTTACGCCAGTTTTCGATGACCCAGTGCCATATTTCGGTTGGAATTTCGGCTATAGTGCGCTAAGTGTTGTCTTTGAGCGTTGCTAGTTGATTGGCGTAAACCTTTGAATTAACATACAGCCAGAGAAAATAATCTAATCAGGAGAGAGACCCAACTGTGCAGTACGACGTTGAATCGACTGATTCGGATTGGCCTCAATACTGGCCTGAGCGTGTGCGATATTTCCTTTACTACAGGCTTTTCTTTGACGAGAAGGTGGTAAACTATCGTGGAGATTATAATCATTTTCGAATTTCGTAATTATGCGTTGCAGAAGTTACGACGACCGTGTTTTGCGCGAAGGGCTCTTCCACCGTGAACGTGAATTTACGTTAGCGTTATATTAAAGTAAAACGTGACATGATGAAATGACAAACCTTACTGAACATACTGACAAAATTTGAGGCAAATCCGTATACATACATGGCCGTCACGAGCTGTCAAAATCACATCATCCGTATCGGTAGAGGTTTTTATAACCTGGTAAAGGTGGCCGTGTTAATTTGTTGTTTAATTTTAATTCATTCTCTATAGTTTTTAGTTACTGTTAGAAATATGGTATATACGCATACTTGACTTTCCTGTAGAAGAACTTTTGGAGATGGTTAGGAAAAAGCTCTTTTATATTTCGCAATTGGATACTGGCTCTGAATCAGACTAAACTGTAATTGTGGATTTCAAAACTACCACATATATGTAAATAAAATTCTATATCTTTAAAGTTATTCATAAATCATGCACTCAAAACAACTATTTTATTAAATGCTTCGAAACCAAGGTAACTTAACCATCTTCGTAGAGATTTTGAAACCTACTTCATCGAAATCAACGAGTTCTGCTCTTTTCCTATAAATTTAGATTTTCTGTACTCAAGCGAACAGTTAAACTATTCTTTTTATGAAATGCAAGATTGCTTCTTCAGCAAATACATATATCATCAAACTTTATGAATTCTTCTTTGTTGTTGTAATAACAACATTAAAAACAAAATAATTTCAAATTGAATTATGTACCGCTAATTTAAGTCAAACAATTTTTGTTATGATTTATTACTTCTAAATAACCTCTCTGTTTTCCTATGGGGCATGCATGCCTTGCAGCAATTACCCAGCATGGTTAAATTTTTTTAAGCGACTGAGTACTAGCACTCAATTAGTTTATGGCAAAAGCTGCATGACTACTTTGTATACATACGAGTACATAGAAATATAATATATAATTACTAATTGTAATTATTGTTATTTTTTTAAAGAATTCAATTCGAAGCTTAAAGGTAGACACGTTGACTGCAACTATGCTATATATATGTACATATGTACATACATATATATGTTACTTCTACGTCTTTGCTCCAGTTTAACTAGAGTACGAGGGTTGGTAATTAAAGAATGAGACTAACGCTAAGACATAAGAAGTACCAGGTAGACTGAACATTTTGGAATAATCGAAAAATGCTGAGAAATTTCGACGATTTTGGGGGACTGAAAATGAAGTCTATGGGTATGTGAGAAGGTTGTGCAAATTAGAACATCTATATGTGATAAGGAATGAAATAAGGCTCCATTAAGTCATTACAGTTTCCAATCGATAGTCATGTGAGTGAACCACATGCGATGACATATTCATCCATTCCAATCGATAGTCATGCGAGACTTGAATCCAAAGTGTGGAAGAGCGCAAAGTTAAAAACAATTTAATAGTCGACTATCATGAAAATTTTAACACGATTCACATTTCAGTATAGAATAGATTAGAACAGTACAGAACGAACTTGGAAAGTTTGAAGATCAAATCAAAAATCAGGGAAAGTCCCCATATTTCTAGAAGAAGATAATGCTACTTCCACAAAAAATTCCTTCGAATTGTAACCGTATTCATGGACTTGCCGGGCTTGGTCCCCTTCAACTTCTTCCTATTCTTAGACTCGCTAGAAAGATATCTAAAAACAATAAAGAGCTAATCATATTGTGATCTATTTTCAAATTATATAAAAAATATCAACTGCACTATCGAAATGGTATTGGAAGATCGCTATAATCAGTGAACGCATGATGTCAACTCTCTTCTGTTTGTTTTCTTTTTCAATAATATCTAGAAGAAGAAGCTCATCCTAACTTAGAGAGTTCGAAAGATCTTTAGTTTACTGTAAATACTTAAGAAAAAATGCTTCATACTAGTTAGAATCTCTGTGGGTCTTTTTATTTTATTACTACACCTGGTATTCTAACAAAAAACTCAGAGTAGTATAATTTCAGCCAGTGAATGGGAGAACAGTTTAGTTATTAATTATTAATCTAATTGCAGCTACTAATAAATGCAAGTAGGCTAAGGTTGTCAATAAACTAGTATAATTCTGAAAATAATTAGAAGCGATAGTATGAAATTAATTAATTATTCGTGTTAAAGATTTACAATTACATTTTCTGAGTTCAATTGTTTTGATTTCTCAAATAACTAATTTTTACATTTGGCTTCCAATCTTTTTTACATTTTGACATTTGTGTGTGTCAACAATACTACGTATATAACGGGCTTATGTTAGAGAATGACTCAGCAACTTCGATATTTACCATTGGTAATCGTGTATAAATTTTTCCCTGCCCAATTTAAAATGACAATCGTTACTCCACATAGATATAGAGGAATAGAAAATATTTATGTTGGTTCATTTTAGAATGATACTGACTCTTAAGGTGAATATCATGCTAGACCCCGTGAAAAAGAGCCCAAAACTCAAAACCTTGATGTCTTGGACCATCTTATAAGTAATAGATATATATTGTATTTGTTTATGTATTCTGGGATTCTTGTATTCAGGGATCAGTCATTTTATTTTTACGGACATTTAAGACGACACGATCGGAAGTAAAAGAGCTGTGATGAAAATTACCATTAGAGATTAATTGGAATAGTTAGTATTAAATTTGTCGAAAGAGAATGATAGAGATAGGGAGAGCTAGAAAAAAAATATGATTTTGAAGAACGTGAGAGGTTGTCAACATGTCAAGGTGCTGTGTTTATAAATATACAAGTACATAGAGTCCGAAACTCGCTTCAAGGTCTTGAACAATCTATGCTTATAAATAATAGATATGTTTGCGCTTACGAATACAATACAAATAAAGTCACAATTATGAATTTTTTTTTTAAGATTTTTAAAATAAATTCGCTATGCGGAACACCCTATATACGGCTCCGCCAAGAACTTATTAGTATTTGTTGGCGTATAAAGTTGAAAAACAAAACTATTGAAAAAGTAATTGCAAATTTGTAAATATGCACATGTTAATTAAGTTTATTTTATTTCAACACTTGGGAGCTTATTGCTACTTGGAAATTTTAAATAATTACCTACTTATATAGTTGGGTAGGAAGTAAGAATTTTTATTGCGTATAAAAAAGGAGAAAAAATACAATTTGAATGTATGTATATGTCTGTATGTATGAATGTTATATTTATGGATGATATAATGACAGTGCGTTCATTGGCGGGTTATGCCTTTCCATATTCGATAAGAATAATTGATATAGAGACCGCATTTTTTTGGAGCTCGTTTACCAGAAAAATGCATTAATTCCTGACGTCATCATCGAAAAGAGAACATTCTTTCATGATCAATAACATTGTTGACGGTTGTTTTTATTTATGACGTAGGAGTCGAAATTTTGCTTTTATGATTTTTGAAATAAAACGTGTGGGCTTAGAATACTAAGAATGAGAGTAGTATTGGAGTAAATAGTTAGTAGCTATCATCGATTTACTAAATTTTGTAGACTGGCGGAGCGAACAAACAACTCGTATAAATTAAATAGAAAACGAAACTTTAATAAGGTAACAACTCGATAACTTTGTTTCTTATTATTTTAACTTCCGAGAGTCGTAGTATACTGCTGTATAATATTACAATAGATTTGACATCGTAATTGCAATTCTACCGAATTCCACTACTTTTTTTTAGAAAAATTCCGACGGCATGCAATTTTTTTCTTCCATTATCATTCTTTTACTTACCCTGCTCATATTAAATTTCGGCATTGATGGATATTTCGGACACCTGCCGAAGCCATAACTCTCTGCGCCGTCAATCAGTAGCAAAAGTGTCAGCAATGCAGTGGCGCATGCGCAGCAAAATGTGTGTGCGTGTTTGTTGTTCAGCCAAATTGGCGCAGACATTTTTAGTTGAAGAGATTCTCGTAATAAATTAGAAGACACAAGACAGCACTTTTGCTCTTTTTATTTTATTTATTTTTTCTTTGCACTTTTTATTTTATTTCACTATATATTATTTTTTTCTTTTAAATTTCTGCTCTACTTTACTTCATTGCTCGCTTACTTTGTTTTGTTTATTTACCTGTTTTCGAAGATAATTTTCACACTCGTACTTTTTGCCGCAATGCGCACGAAATATAATGGAATAACTTGTGTTGATTGTCGTTAACTGTTAAGTAAATATTTGACAAAATTTCAGACAGCTTTCACGATTTAAAGCTATAAAGGGAATAGCAAATTTATTTAAATTTTTATAATTTTACTACTAGTAGTGTTTAATTTATTTTAAACGAATTTTTTTAAACTTAGTTGGTTTATTACGTAAAAGTTATTATATATTTTTTTTGGAAATAATAAAATTAAAACGTATTAATTTTTAATTAATTTAAAAACAAGAAATCTAATTTTATACATTTTTAACATACGATTTTTATTTAATTGAGTGCAAAAGTTTGTAACATTAATTAAATTTAATAATTTTTAGCTTTATAAATAAATTGAATATGAAATATTAAATTTTTTTATAATTTTGTGTTTACTTTTTTTGTGTTTACAAGTTAATTATTTTGAAAACTTATTTATAGTATTTAAAATTCTTAAAAAAATTTAAGTTTAAATATATAACCGATTTATAAATATAAGTAAATAATAAATTTTATAATATTATTTTTATGTATTACTTCTATATATATTTCAGTACTACTTTTTTGTTAATTTTATACATTTATTCTTAATAGTTAAAAAAAAAAGGAAATAAATTTATTTTTGAAATTTATATGTTCACGTTATCTGTTTCATATATTTTTATATTATAATAATATTATGTTTTTTTTTTACATTTATATTACATTATGGTTTTAAATATTATATAATAAATAATATTTATTTGTATCAAAATATTTTAACCAAATAAAAAGTCAAAGCTTTTTCATAAAAATTGTTATGGGCTTCTAATAATTTAAATCAAAAGTTGCTTTGAAAAATAAAAAAGTTTTTTTATTCTGGTTTTTTAAGTATAAATAAACTTTTTAAAAGTAAAACAAGGAAAAGAAAAAAAATTTCTTCGGCCGGTTCAAAGCTAATATCCTTCGCAGTTGCTTTTCTTATAACAAAAAAGGGTATACAAATATCTTTATTCTGATTTTGAACTGTCAACATTCGTTGTTGATTTACGTGAGTACCTGCCGGCGACGGCCTTACCTCACGGTGCTCCAAAGCACAACGTATCAAAACAATGCGTTGATAAGCGCCCCAAATAATACGAGCTATTTGCAAGTATTAATTTGGTTACCAGTGGCAGTGTGTCTGGACCCACACTACCATCTTGGTAAGATTCGAGGCCGACCTAAAACCTCTTCCGTTTTCGGGTACGGAACCCAGTTGCTTTTTGCAACTTTATTTTGGAACTGAAATAACAGTTAGGCTGAATTTTCAGTTCTTGCTACATTTAGGTTTCAACCACAGCCACCACGAATCTCCCCAAAAGGGCCATAACCCGTGGTACCAGAAAGTCTCCGGTAAGACTGTGTAGCCGAAACTACTGCCAATTGAGCAACCCATTACTCAATGACTGGTGATATTTGTCGCTTGAACTTCAAATGTCTTGTTATTTGGGATTTCATTTAAAGTCTATAATATCAGTTCAAGCTGAGTATTATAGCACTATTTTACGACAGGCATGCCTTACCGCGGGTAAATTCTTACTCCTATCCGCAGGGGGAACGGTCAGTAGTATGGGAGCCATATGCTAGAGTAATTCAATCTGAACAATTACTTCGAAGATTGTAGCAATGTTTTGGATAATAAACTCTGCTAAATTTCATGAAGATACCTTGTCAAATAAAAAACTTGAGTTGAAAAAATGTAAATAATGTATTTAAAAGTTAAAAAGTATGAATATTAAAATTTAAACTTGCTTTAAAAATATTAATTTCTGGACATTTTAAATCGATCAATTGCGATTTTTTAAGAAAATCTTCTTCTCCCATGAAACTCACTTTCACCTGAGTGTTGCGGTAATTAAACAAAACATTCACCTAAATTGACAGTTTGCTGTGGTTTTCGGTCTGGTGGAATCATCGGTCCGTACTTCATTCGAAATGAAGCTGGTGACACCGTTACTGTCAATGGAGAGCGGTATAGATCTATGTTAACCAATTTTTTATGGCCGCACTTGGAAGAAGGTGATCTTGATCACAGCTGGTTCCAACAAGACGTGGCTAAATAAGAAGGCATGGAGGCCATTTAAATGATATTATATACTTCGAACTAAATAAAAAACATTGACCTTCCTTAACAATTAGAGTTTGTTTTATTAAATCATATCACTCTTTATACAAGTATAAGTACTTTATTGAATTATATTTTTCACTTATTTTTTATTGCCACATTATTTGGTCTCTTTAAACAAAATACATGTGTAAAGGTATTTTTTTAATATCATGCCTTCATTGTTTGTTTACTGTTGTCACTGAAATGCAAATAACGAGTCACCAAGTTTTTCCCTTCATTGAATATGCGAAACGTCAAAAATCACGCAATTTCTTCGACCGCTTTACGATTTTGTTTTACTTGCACAGTTTTACTGTTATTGTTGTACATTTTTTATAACAAAATCACTTTTGTTGTTGTAAATCATTACAATATGCGTACATAAAATATTTTTTTTCGAATGTGGTGTGGGTGTCGCGCTGTCGTGATGGACGCTTGAGTGGCCTAGTGAAATGTAAATTCAGGCCGGCAAACCGCACAAGTGCTTTGGACACCCGTCCCAACAGCGCGGCAGCACGTCAGACCATCGACCACAGACGATAGTCGATGGCTGGCAGGTGATTAGCCGTTATGTAACCGGGGGCAGTGTAAATATACAAAGTCGAGTGTTGACGTTGGAAAAAACACACACACACAAGAAAATAGTAGGAGGCGTGCTCAAGGAAAATAAAGCGACCATTACGGTATTACAACAAAACCGTTACAGGATGAGGCGATGTCACAACAATAATTGCACTTTCCGAGACCCGATTTTTGCAATGAAAACAAAACCGCACAACCACTTGCTTTGTAACCAATAGCTCAAACCGCAAGTAATAACAAGTGTAAAAATAAAAATAAAATCGCGGTTATAAATAGTTGCAGCAAATGCAAAGTGGAAAATCATGAATTTCCACTCAACACGCCAATATGAAAATCGAAAAGAAAATGATAGAAAAAGAAAATTGATATAAAACGTGTTGCAATAGCTTGCAACAACGATTGGCAGTTGAAATCAAGACGTGCGCCATGAATTACTCCACTTTTGCGATGTGCAAACAGGAAGGAAACGCTTGCGCACAATTATGACATTTCCACTGAAACGTGTTGTCGCGGTCATCAACCAACTTCCTTAACTACAAGTATTATGGGTATTTTCGCCACTGCTTAGCGGAAGCAGAAGAATATGCTGAAATTTTAAACTCTTTTGGTTCTAACTACTCAAGCTCGTAGACAAGGAAATGAAACAGAGGTTTTCTTACTTAATATACTTCCAAGCATGGTTGATTTTTGTCCCCTGAACAGGATATATTAAGTTTTCCCCGTCAGAGACTCTATAAAGTTTATATAAATGATCATCATGATAAGGTGAGTCGAAAAAAAAATAGTAAGACCCTAAATTTGTAGACTGGAAACAAAGCCTCACACCACAAATGATAGCAGTTCAGTCAACCTTAAGAAACTTCATAACCTCACACTTCTTGCTTCAAGGAGTACAGTTAGGTGACAGATTTTCAGAAAAAGTTTAGTTGTTGTTCTGCAGAACACGTTCTTCATACGAATATATTCAATTAATCTATCGCAAGTGGAGAGAACAAAAATATTGAATCAAAACGTAATCTCCTCATAAATTAAAAGTTAGTTACTCACTCCACTGTCTGACATTGGATTTGTTTTGTAGTTACCGATACAAATATTTATGGTCTTTAACGTTTATAAACCTTGAGCTCTCATAATCGAACAGATCCACATGGATTGAATGCTTTTAGCAAATTGATAATTTTTAAGTACTTAAGGACTGCCTCTTAGGGGCTGACTATATGAGATTTATTAAACCTTTCAACTGTTGCTTATAATAAACACTATGCAGCCCGTTCTCTGAGATAATAAATTATTTATATAAATGGGAAACCCTAAAGTGTGCCCAATCTAGAAAAATGAACTGAAAATGAAATTTAAACTTATAATTTGTAGTACTCTAACTACTAGAGCAAAATAAAAAAAAAACCAACGAACCAAACTTTGAAGACAACTGGTGGTATATAACTAGCTTAGAAAACGAGTACTCGTAACTCATTATACTTTTCATAAGCGACTAACTCAACTGTTGCCTCCTATTTATGGTATGCCATATATATTACTGTTATCTGGTAAATGGAAATATCTACAAGTTGAAAAAGTCTTCAAATGGAGGAGAATATTATTATGGGTTTTTCTTATTAGAAATACCCTCGTAGGTTGAACAATGTGGATTAAAAAAGAGTTTAGTTTTATAAGTTAAGATTTTGTCCCGACCACTATATGAACCTAAAATCTACTAAACATTAGTATTCAACTCAATTTATTGCGCTAATTCCAATAATGGTAAGTTGTATGAAAAAGAATTAGAACACCAGCGAATGACTATTAATTTGTGAAACCGAATATATACTATATTACATTACTTTATACCCAGAACAGGATATATTAAGTTTGCCACGAGCTGAGTCGATTTAGCCGTGTCTATCTGTAAATACGCGAACTAGTCCCCTTTGTTTTTAAGCTATATCTGCCAAAAAAAATTTCATATCGGGCAACTATAGCATATAGCTGCCATACAAACTGACCGATCAAACTTTTTGATTTGATAAGGTATCTTCACGAAATTTGGCGCAGATTATCATCTAGAGCAACGCTACAAGCTCCGATCATATTGTTCAGATAGGAGCACTATAGCATATTCAATATAAACCAATTGATCCAAATCAAGGTAAAGAAAGTTTTATGCTATAGTAAATGCACCCTTGCAGAGAATTATAGCTTCGATGGAGCCAAAGTTAACGGTTTTCCTTGTATTATTATATTTTTTAAATTTATTTGATTGTATTTAGACGAGAAAATTAGAATTTAGTACAGTATATTTTATTTATTTATATAAAAGTATGTATAATATAAATTATCTGTTGTTTTAAAATTTATGAAAATTATTATATTGTTATTTTTTGCAATGATTTTGTTTATTAATTTTGTGTTTAATAAATCTTTTAAATTAAATCCTCATGGCATTTTTATTTTTTTAGTAGCATTGTTTAGTTTCCATAAAATTCCTTTTTTTTTTAATACTATTAATGAATAAAAATAACATATATTTTTTTATTATTGCTAGTTTTTTTAGCTGGCTTGAATTACTAAAATTGGGGAAGCAATAAATTTTTTTGATTTCTTTTTAATTCTTCTTTACTTTTTATTGTTTTTTGTTTGAGTTTTTTATTTTCACCGTCCTTTGCCAATTATTCGCACTATATACACAATTATTTGAAATATTTATTTTTGGCCACTAAATGTCGGTTAAAGACACGCTCACTTAACACTTGTCGTGTTAGCACTCAACATAACAACAATAGTCTTCAAACAAAAAATTCAAATATTTTTGTTTGCAAAAATTGCCGTCAACAACAATAACATTCACTTTTCTTCGGAGACAACTGCGGTGAACTGCTACCGACCGGTACGCATCGCGTCAAAGTAAAGTTTGATGAGACAAACTCAGCGAGCAATGCTTTCTTGGCGTCACATATGTATGTGTGTGTGTACCGTCTGCACTTTGCCAAACATACATACATACGCATAAAATTATAATAAGCAGTAGCACCTTTAAACCGCCAGCAAAAAATAAATAAAATAAAATGTTTTTCAAATATTTAATTTACACTTGTCTATATGTATGTGTATAGCGAGCTATTGCGAGTGCCACAAGCAACACAACTAACCACAACAGCGTTCACAACAGAACTGCTAGTTGAGCTCACTGGGTCGAGTGAACATTGTACGATCGCCCAGTGGCTCAGCTCGCAAGACGCTCTACAAACACACTTTAACGCACACACACTTGTAAATAAATATGTTTAAGTTTGCAGGTATGCTTGCTGGCCGATGCAGCTTGAATGTGTTGCTAATATAATATGTATTTAGTAGCGTCAAGTGATTCTTTTGATGGATAACACTTACTCAGAAACACACGCACATACACATACACATGTACGTACATACATATATATGAGCATAATCACACACATGCCTACATACGAGCACCTTAACACTATCAATTCTATGCCTTGGCACTTTGCCACTTAATTTATGCGCATAATTGCAGCAACAATAAATGCTACAACAACAATAATTGCATATATTATATTTTAAATAAAGTAGTTAAAGTGACTATTAAAAGTCAGTTCTCGATTTGGCACGACGATCATTTATTAATAGGAAGTACTTATTTGGCGTTGAAGTGCTTAAAGTGCAGTGAACTTGCGCATACAATTTATTTGTTGAGTTCACACGAGTGTACTTTGTGCATACTTGCAAGTATATACAGTTAATCAAAAAATGCTTGAGACACATGGAGATGGTTTGACTTTGAAGTGATTTATCTCCTAAACTATTAAAACTTTTGAGTTGCATTCAAAAGTGAGATAAATGCCGTTTTATTAATTTTCATAATGTTATAGAAATTTATTTTTAAAAATCCAGTTTTTTTCTAAAAAATTAAAATATACAAAATATTTGCATTTTCGAAGACCAAAAAAAAAGGACATGTACAATTTGCATAAAATGACATTTTAACACTCTTTAAGTAAAATGAATACTTTGTATGAGCACAAGAGGGCAACTCTTTCATGGTTTACAGTCTTTTATTCATAGAATGCACCATTGCAAATTTTGTTTAAATTCATGAGGTATATATATATTTGCCTATATATCCTGAAGAACAGCCTTAACCTAATTTTTGCAATTAACTTTGCACCCTCACAACTTTGTCTCCAAATAGGCTCACACGCGTTCAATCAGAGTGAGGTCTGTGGCAGCACTTTTAGTACTGAATAATAGTGTGTGATTTTCTAAAAATATTGCCTATTTCGAGAATACTTTTGTTCTTTTGCCAATATCATATATGATGAAAGCACCTAAGGCGTTATAGGTCGGTATAAAACCTTGAAAAAGCAGTAACTTTGACAAATTATGCCGAGACTAAAGAAAATGGGATAAAAATTCTCTTTCTCTCCACCAGGCTTTAGAATATATTTCAGTCTAAAAAAAATTGTCTATTGATATTTTGATACAAAATGGCGGGTACTGAGCCAATATATGTAATCACCTTTTACAAGTGCACCTTCACGGGCGATGGTGTTTCTAGGAACTGGCGCAATCTGACAGGGGTCTTAATTGGCATAAGACTTGCTAGTAAAGTACATAAGTTTATTAGCTTTAGATACATTTTTTGTAAAATGGTGAACTTGCGAAAAAATTTTAAATTTTTGAATAGAAAAAAGTTGAAATACATAAAACAAACCAATAATATTTTTTTAAAATATTGTCTAAATTTTAAGTGAAAACGTGCGTTTGTCTTCGAGTACCATCATTTTTAAAGTGTAATTTCGAAAACAAAAACGTGTCTTAAGTTTTGCCCACACGCAAATTAGACAAATAAAAATTTTTTTTTGCCCCATTCTACCATTTGAATAATGTTTTGTAGAACTTAAAGCCAAAGCGAAAAAAATGCTCGGCATTACTGTAAACCCTCTACCGGTCTAACCCCTTGATGTATTATGCAGTTGTGTACAAGGCAATTTGAACTATGGAATGTTTTGAAGAATACAATTTGCATACTATTTTCGAATTGCACTAAGAATATATAGTAATAGCATTTCCTTTTAATTTCGCTGCACCCGATTAAGAAATGTGGCAAACTCTTTATTTGTGTTTAATTGCAGTAATAAATAAATAGAAATGGCTGGCACATAAAATTTGCATACCTATACACACATACATACATATGCATATTTTTAAGGCATGGCATGCAGTAACCTTCGGAAAAGTGCGTTGTGTATTTAAAGACAAAAAAAAAACAAAACCGAAAACACCATTAACTTCGGTTGCACCGAAGCTATAATGCCCTTCACAAATAGAACATAGTCCTTACAAGAACTTGTTTTCGATCGGTCAATCTTTATATGCTTTAGTGGTTCGATCTAAACAATATGTTCGGAAATTTAAGCGTTACCTTGAACAATAATCTGTGCCAAATTTCGTGAAGATATTTTGTCAATGAAAAAAGTTTTCCATGCGAGGACATACACGGCTGCTATATCCTATAGTGGTCCGATATTGGTGGTCCGACAAATGAGCAGCTTCTTGAGGAGTGTGCAAGAATTTTAGGCTAAATATATATCTCAAAACTAACTCGACTCAGCTCTGCGCCCTAATCATTTATATGTGCATATTTATATACTTTATAGGGTCTTCGAAGTTTTCTTCAGATTATAAAAATGCACATACTAATATATAAATATGCAAACAAAGCTATATAAGGTCTGTTTTCTATAAGCGAGTGGCAACAGAATGCTCAACCTAACGAGCTTGTCAAAAACACCGAGCTTATTTATTAAATTATCGTTCGATTGTGAGTAACCCGTTTTTTAAAGTATCTTCATCAAATTATGCAATGCCCCAGTATTTAAGGAGTACTTAAACCTTAAGCTTTACTAATAATCAGTACTGAGCACTTAGTACTAAGTGTAGAATATATGCCTAAAACTATTGACGATTCATTAGGCTTATATGTAAGTAAAGATCTGGGCATACAATTTTTGAGAAACAGGCACAAAAATGAATCAGCCGACCACATTAAATGCTTAAGAGAAACCGTATATTGGGCTCTCCTTCTAAAACCCATGCAACATATTAACTCTCCAACCAACTGAGTTTATGAGTAGGGTTTTGATGTTAGGGGCGTCGCCTATGCTGCTACCGCCATTATAAAACATTTGTCTATAATTACAGATTTTAAATTTGGCAGGATTTGAAAATATTGTGACGTAGCGCCGCTTAATAGTTTTCAAAACTTGTTGTTTTTTTAGAAGTGTTCTTGCCGCGTGTCCCTTAGCTGTGTACCTCGGCCTTAAGAAAAATTCAGTGCCCGGGGATGATTGTAGTGAATTGTTCAAGAAATAAACATGCCAAAAATTGTTGCAGAGCACCGCTCTCTCCTGAGAAGGAACGAGAGGAATTGTACCCGATCTCTTTCCCGCTCTCATTCACTAATGCCTTGTTTCCGGCTTTCAGCGTTTCTACAGATCATTTCATCACTTTTCTATTTTTCAGTTCGCTACTGTCAACTGCCTTTACTTGCCTTTAAAGAAAAACTTACACACAGATGGCGCTATTGAACAAGCGCACACGCAAACTACACACAGTCACTTGCAAATTGTTGTGTAACATAAATATTTTACTAAATTATTAATTTTATTTTTTATGATCAAATTATGCTGTATCACAATTTTTGAAGAGATGGCAACTCTAAAACTATATTGAAAGGTGGCTTGCTAAAATCGTATTGTTTGATATTTTAGTGTTCCTTAGTAAATAATTATATTTACCTAAAATTCCTAAACAGTTGCCAATTTCAATGAAAATTTATATAAATGTGGCAACCTTCTTAAAACCCTATTCAACTGTAAGCATTTTCAAAGTAAAAAGATCTAACACATATAGTAACTCCCCTATAGATAAATCAAAAACAGTTGGCAATCGCTTTCAAAAATATTTTAACCGTGAATTGAAAAATGTCAAGCGTTGACAACACTCCACCGAGTTCTTCTAAACTTCTTAAACCTCTTTAGTTTGTAGTGTCTTATGATTATTCTTTACTTCCAAATATCAAACAATTGGCAACCTTTTCGCAAATATTTTTAACTCCAAGTTTTTAAACTTTATTTGCTCGTTATATTTGTACTCTGAACAGGGTATATTAAGTTTGCCAAGAAGTTTGTAACATCAATAAGGAAACGTCGGAGAACCTATAACATATATACATAAATGATCAGCATGATGAGCTGAGTGAATTTAGCCATGTCCGTCTGTCTGTCTGTCCGTCCCTCAGTTTTTAAGCTTTCGATCTGGAATTTTACACCTGTCCTTTTTTCATTAAGAAGCAGCACATTTGTCGAAACGGCCGATATCGGACCACTATAGCATATAGCTGCCATACAAACTGAACAATCGTAATCAAGTCCTTGTATGAAAAACTTTTTAATGTTACGATCGGCATGACTCATCGGCATTTGTGGTGCACTAAAGACAACACCACCAATGGCACTCAATGCCATTCTACATGTTGCACCTGTAGAAATAGCTGGTAGGTTTTTGGTGGCGAAAACTACTATTAGACTTAGGAAAACTGTGTATATGAGAGGCCCCGGGCAGGAACACATTGAAAGTTTCCACTAATTCGATTAGATTCCTTACAATTTAGATCACTGCATCATGGAACCTTCACCTTCTCTGCTCACACACCAGCGAGGGATTTGTGGGCGAATCGAAGCCATTGGAGAAGATGTGCAGTGAGCTTTTTCATGGATGGATCGAAGTTAAGAGGGAGGGTAGGAGGTTACATCTTAAACCTGTTAAGGAGTGCTTGAACTTATTAGCAGCAGCTTCATGTTTTTTCCATAGGCGCTGCTCAACAAGCAGAACTTATTCGACTGCGAGATCCTTCAAGCCCAAAATGAAGCGTAAGAGGTCCTACGAACTACTTACACTTAACACAAAGGACAAATATTTGTCTATGTGAGTTTCCATTGATATCGGAGCAACCCTACGACCTAACCTAGCATATCGCACAATCAATTAAAAAAGACATTCAAATCGTTTCAGTATTCAGCTCTTTTACCCACTCAAATGAATAAAATAGCAAAAATTTACATTTAAATTACAAAAAGGGCCTTTTATTATTATTTATTTGTATTCCATTGAAATATTTCCATACATTTGTATATTGCTAAGATTAATGTATGTAGGTATGTTTGTATGTATGCTACGTTAATTTAGAACGACAAAAGAATTTGCACACTTCATAAATTCACGTTTTCTGATATACATACATATGTAGTTATATAAGTATGTTAAGAAAAAAAAAAACAAAAACAAATATACAAACACTTCAATTACATTTATGACTTAAAATTTAATGAATTTGTGCGATAATTTTTGATACAATGCGTACACATTTCGTATGATAATCGTTGTGGAAAGGACTACATGTCGTATGAGTAATGCAATACTGGGCTACTTAGTGTTACGGTCAATTTTACTTGTATGTATATATGTATGTATGCATTTGTATAATTTTTTATGATTTTAATGATAAACATTTGATTTTTGCTTCTAATTTTGATTACGAATTGTTGATTATTATATTTTTTAATGAAATTGGAAATTTTGATTTTATGTTAGCTTATACATATCTACAGTATAAGTATTTTATAATAATTTGTGCTTTCTTTTGCATTTTGGTATATTCGTTTTGTTTGTTCTCTACTTTTCTGGCGTTGATGGTTTCTACTTTTATGCATTTTGGCTTTTGGGTGGGTTTTCACTATGTGCCGTTATTTTTATTTTTTTTTTTTACTATAGAAAAAATAGTCACTGACAATTTGGCATATGTTACTGCTGTACAAATTAAAGTTTGGAAAAGTAGTGGTTTTTAGAATTTTTTCTTTTTTATATTTTTTATTTATTTAAGTAGTTCACTTATGCATAATAGTGTTAAAGGAAAATCTGGCAACGTACATTTTGCATATTTCTTTGTTTCGAGAAATCTTATTTAGTTAATTAAATTTGTTTCTTCAAAAATATGAAATTGATTTATAGCGCTAAAAATGTGTTCAGCAACGTTCGGTAACGTAGACCTTGGCAGTGGCTGGAGCGTTCGATCGTCGTACAGCGACGGAGACAATGATACCAATGGCGACGAGGACGATGCCCAATGCGTTTATAATGTAGTGTTCGACTTCCGAGTTGCGTGAGCTGTGAAAGGAAAATAAATTATTTAATTACTATATCATTTTTTTTACTTAAATAAATGTATAAATTTAATAGAAATAGGGCAAAAGGGTTGAGAGACATGAGGGTACTTTGGTTTATTTCTTAACAATATATATAAGCATATATGTTAGGGTGAACCTCAAATATGAGAAAAACTCTTGCTTGAGATATAATTAGGCGAAACCCTGTATCAACACATCTAGGTATATTAGAAACCCATTTTTTGAAAATAAAATGTTATAGTGTCACCCTATACTATATTTGTATATTTATATCTTGGTAATATATTGGCGTAACTTAAGAAAACATTGGATATTAAAACATTTATCTTAGCTTAGAAATGAAATGTGAGCATATTTCTTCCCTCTAGTTGATTGCAAGTAGGAGCTTCCAATTAGATGGCGAGTCAACTGTAAAAAATTGTACAAAGTCGAGTTTCCTTGTAGTTAGTTACAATAACGAAGTCGACAGCACTTAGAAATTTATTAAAAAAACAAAAACAATTTTTTTCATTTCTTGATGATTTAAATATTCGTGAATATATCATGAAAAGGTAAACTTGAAGTATCTTAAAAGTTACAGCCGTTTTAGTGTCGTGACAACTAAAAAAATCCAAAAGTTTGAAAATTACTGAAAGCATCGATTCTGATTAAATAACTCGTAAGTTATATGGGAATTTTTTTTTCAGTTTCTAAGCCTTCCGCTTTAACGAAATTTGTACTGATTAAAAATCTACCCTAATCTAATCTGAAGAGAGTATATCAAGTTTGTCACGTTATATATGTATTATATAACACCCAAAAGTAAATATTGAAGACCCTATAAGGTATATTGGAGACCCTCCATATAAATTACCAGTACGTCGACTTGAGTCGATATAACCACGTCCGTCTGTGAAGTGAAATTTATGTTTTTCTTAACAAAAGCTTCACAAAGCTCTTGAAATATTAATTGATGAAAAATAGGAAGCAAAGATATTTGTTGGTTTAATGTTTTTTTTATAGAGCATCCAAATATGCCCGAAATTTTGGCCTATAGCCTAGAATACCGTTTTTCTTTAACATTTATCTAAAATAATAGTTTTATAAAATAGTTTCTGGGAATAAATTTGAGTAATAATTTCAATTTAATTACTAAAAAAATTGATAGCTTAATAATATACATATATATAACGCATATTTTGTTTAGTATTATATACTATATTAGCAGTTTGGTTGTAAGGCCCACACAAAAAAGCTTAGCAACTGCGCAACATTCTGTAGGTATATTTAGCATGGGATAGGTCTACAAGAAAGTGGTAAAAAATTCTAAAAATGATCGTTATGCTATTTTAAACTATTTCAGATTTGCTAACCATGCAATTTTTCCCATTTTCTTAGAACCCGTTTTCTCCACATAGAGTTTTTACCCGATAGGTGGCGTCGTTGTTACTAAATACATATTTGATTTTTTCGTTAATTTCTGAACTGAAGTTTCGAGTAAAATTTTACGTAAATTTATTGTGGGCTTTATTATATGGGAGAAGTTAATTTAAGACGGATTTTGATAATACTTTTTAGAGGTTCCATTGATATGTGTTCATTCTAACCAAATCTGTCCACAATTTCTTACTAAATTAATACTAAAATTTTTATCGATCGATTAGATTGAATATTAGGTTAGGTTAAGTCTAAACCCACGACACTCTGGTCTACGTAACTAGAACGGACCCAGATTTTTAACCAGGCAAGGACTGTCAACTCGGCAGTATTCCTAGAAATTACTTAAGGGATGTTTTCTGTCGCTACAACAACAACAACAAGATCAAATTGAAGTGAGCGATATCAATATATACTGAATATTTTATTTTTGACAGAACTTAATTTGTAAAGTTTCAGGGCATTAATTGGGCGTAGCTAAACCCAATTTTTATTTAAGAAATTTCGAAATAAATAATTTGCCAGCGAAAATATTTATAAATTTATGTACATATATATGATGTCATATCGCAGAAATATCATAGAAATTATGTGGTGACATCTCGTTGATTTGATCATATCTCTACATTCGTATATAATTCGCGTTACTTAAATGTAGTAAAAGATAATCATAGCTTACCTCAAAACGGCGTTGCCCGCATTCTGGCGCTCATATTCCACCAACCCAGTGATGCAAGTGGCAATTGCCAACATAAAATTCACCAAACCGAAGCTGGCGTGTATCGGAACCATAATGCTGCGACACTTGTAGGTGCGATTCTCACAGCACAGCAACACCAAGAAACTGCAAGAGACCAAATAAAGCATAGATATAGGCCAGCTGAAGCAACAAGCAGATGTGCAATAGAAGAAATCACGAAATTTACAACAATAAAAAAAAAAGAAACTAAGAAACAGATGATGAATAATTACATGGGAGTGTTGTGACAACTGTAGGAGTGTATAATGTTGCAAATACATATGTATATATTATACTTGCAACAAATTGCGCATGCGCACGTATGTTTTATATGTTCATACCTGAAAAATCCAACAACGAACTGCAACACAAACATTCCCATGGTGACAAAGCCCAACCACGAATGCATGCTGTAGAAATTCACTTTAGGCGGCTCCGACAAATTGTGCGAATCGAAGACGGACAGAAATCCCAAAGCCACACACGGTATGGCGCAGGCGTGAAAGAACATATGAATAAGCTTAACATAGATGTGCTTCAGGCAACGGCATAGGCGGTATAGCAAAATGGCTGCAGAGATAAAGAAAATACAAAAAAATAAAAATAAAAAATTTATTTCAACACAACTGCAGGCATACATGCAAACAACAAACAAATATATATAGTATGCGCTACTTACAAAATCCCGACAGCGTTATGAAGCCCGCTACCATTAGGGTGGGATGCAAATTGAATTGCAATGCTGGATTGTCGGACCAAGCGAAGCCATCGCGATAGAATAGTATCCAGAAGAGCGTGAGTATCAACACACCCACCAACAAAATGGTGGAGAGTATAACGATGAGCAAATACTCGAACCACGACCCACAGTTCCAGTCATTCTCTGAGTCCTCCTCGTAGCGCCTGAAATTCATAAATTAACGTATTATTTGCAATTAAATGTAGTCTCTAATAATATTGTTGGCATTTGCATGTTGCTGTTTTTATATTTGTATTCAATAGTTATTAATTTTTGTTTTTTTTTTAGGCAACAACCGTCTGCCATTTAGATACAACCGTCTGTAATTAGCCTCCGCCTCGGGTCGCCGCTTTATTTGGCGATTTAACTCTTTCATAAACTCCTCATTAACCGTCATCGTCATCGAATTCTGTTCTTTAATTTTTTTCCGCTTCAATCTCATAGAGAAATTATATCAAATGTCTGCAAAGCGAGAAAATGTCAATAGTTTTTGTTCAACCACAAAAACGAAAACGATTTCGTTGCCTGCTAAAATTTGTTTATTTTATTTATTTTTGTTTGTATTTTTTAGTACTATTTGTTGTTAATGTTAAAAACTGCATAACTCCATTTAAATTTTGTAAAATATAGTTTACGTAAATATTTCCAATGCATTTCTTAAAGGGTTTGAAAAATTTACGAGGTCAGTTTAATAAGTCAATGCTTTTTTGCTGTTTTCTTAAGAACATATCGGTTTTTGCACCACAGTTTTCTCTTTAAAATCATTTGTTTTTAGGTCGTAATGTTTTCTGCAACATTTCTCAATCTCGTAAAGAGAATAGTTTTACAAGAAAAAAAATGTATGCGTCTATCTTAGGTTAGGTTAAGAAATCGTTCCCAACAGGGATCTGACTTGGACAGTTTAGAACGCCGGTCCATGTGGTAAACTCCTATATGGTAGATCATAAGATCCTTACAAATCGACACAGCGCTTTGAGCTTATCACAGACGGCTAATGTTTCGGCTATGACTTCTGGTTCGCCGAAGGTAAAACTACCGATATGTTTCAAGCTGGAAAATGGAGGACAAAGTGCCTGGTTGTTTCCATCGCACCCTTTTTCATACAACTTTGACGACTAGCGTCTGACAAGATTTGTAACCTTACTTCATGAATGCCAATTGGACAGCGTCCAGTTAGAACCTTTACGATTGCGGCAAGCTGAACTTTGTAAGAACAATCGATTTGGTCAGGACATTCTAGATCACCGAACTGATCGTTTTCGAAGTACAATATTTTAATAATCGTGATACGAGTGTTTTTTTACTCTTCTAAAATTCCTAAAGTTTTGTTTTCGGCAATGTTCTATTTACTTTGACTTGACTCTGGTATATTTCAAATCTTTTCTTTTTGATATCTGGTATATTTTCAAATCATTTCATGACCTATATCTAAAGATGCTTAAGATGATTTAAGCCAAAACTATATAAACAAACTTTATTCTCCAATCGTGGAGCATCAATCCATGGCCTTATAAATAAATTCTGGTTCGATTATCCCTCTTCTGACGCTATGTCAAGAGATTTATGGAAAATATTTCCCATTTGATACTCGAAATTCCGCAATTATTATTACCTTTTTTATTCAACTGTCTGTTTAGCCTGGCCCCCCAATCTGTACTAACTTTGTTTTAGTTTATATGTGATTATTAAAAAAAAATACAGATATATCAAACTGCTCTCGTGGTTGCCATAAAAGGAGTTCTTAATCTACACAAAACCATATTTGCAAATTAAATGGAGTTAAAACAGTTTTATTGAACAGACGATTCCAATTATATTTAAAGCAGCTTAAGCTGATAACACATTGAAAAGGAATGAAAGCAAAAGCTTTCTTACGGCAAAAGCAAATAAAAAGCAAACGTTGGATCGAAATGAAATTGTGCAATAGTAAATACTGCCTTAGATGCTTTAAAATGTTTATTTTCGTGGCAAATATATTATAAAAAACAATATTTAAATATGTTAAAACAAAGGTAACATGTAACGCTAATTTGAAAAGCCACATTTTCGGAAGCACATAAAGCTTAAACTTATAGATCAGTACACTGTTAGAGGTCGCAAATCAGTTAGTGCTCATAGGTATTATAAGGGTGTGTTTCTAGACATGTGGTTTTTAATAATAAATAAAACGTGTGCAATTTAATGTTGTGGCTTAGCTTTATTATAAACAAAAGGGTTTGCCATTATGCTTTAAAAATGTTTTGGGGCAAGTGACCACCGCGAATGGCTGGAATAAAGCCGAGAGAGCCAATTTTTGACCAGCAATTGGGGCTTTAAGTCAGAAATAACGCGCCGATTGTTCTCTTCTACGCCGTCAATTGTCCCATAACCCCACGAAAAATAGTCCAGTGGTGCTAAATCCACGGTATTGGAGGCTACGCCACAGGCCCACCATGCGAGATAATGCGTTCACCAAAAGTTTCCTTCTATAAATTAAATTTTTCGTTGGTTGTATGGCATGTAGCGCCGTCTTGTTGGAACCAAAGCTTGTCCACATCAACATCTTCCAATTCAGGCACGAAAAAGTCATTAATCATGACTCTATAGCGTTCACCATTGACATTACGGACAGCTTAATTTTTTTTAGAAATATGGATGAATGATTTTCTCTATCCATAAAACACACTAAACAGAGACTTTTTGAGCATGTAACGGCGTGTCAACAATGGCTTGTCGACTATCATCATACCAAATCCGACAATTTTGGTTATCAACGTACCCATTGAACCATGCTTCACGTGCGTTATTTTGGTAATAAATTTGCACGATTTGCAAACGTTGTTTCGTAGTAAATCTGTTCGTCATGAAATGGCAAACCAAATTGAGTATAATCAAGTAAGAGCTGTCAAAAAGATCAACTCTAAAAAAAAGTATTGCCTAACTGAAAACGACACGTCTAAAAACAACACCCTTTAGAATTGTGCTTCCTCTTTATCAGGAAATTATCTATAGTATATAGTAAATGGATAATATATGGATCAGATTAAATATATATTAAGATACAATCATCAAACATTCAATGGAGATAATTTTGTGGATATTATGTAAGACAATAGTTGGTGGTAGTAAAAAAGTAGACCAGTTAGACAGCATCATTGGTACTCGACTTTTCCAGAAGTTGTTTTATTGGTTTTAACTGGAGCTGAAAGCAGTGAAACACTTTAGGTCGTCATTCAAAACCACTCAGGTGTTACTTTTAAAGTTGATGTCGAAAGCGTTAATAGGTTACAGAATACCCACATCGAATAAACAAAGAAAGATTAGAGCACTTACTCTGGAAGTGCCTTTTACAACGAATGTGGAATATTTTCTAAGGGGCACCATGCTCATAGAAATAGTCCTATAATTTCGACTTACTTATTCGAGAATAATATTAATATTTGTTTCTGTATTTTAATAAAATCTTACTCTTTACACTAAAATTACTCTTAGTTCCCATTATGGAAACTAAAACGAATTCAGTGTTTTTATGCCAGCATACATAAGCATTTACCACAATTGGTCGCTGACAGGGAACTCTTCATTTGTTAATTGTTCATTTAAAAGTCTTTCGAATTATGCATAATTACAAGGCATTTCCAATTAGATTACAACTATAACAACTACAATTCAATTTCCCTTAATCACCATGTAACGAATGAAGACACAAATCACATATCAAAATGCTCATCCACTCATCCAAATGACTGAACTTAGCATTTACACACAAACACACATATTTCTATGAACACAGACATTCTAACATATATATGTATATATATATTATATTCTCAGTTAAATAGCATTTCTAGCCTAGTAAATATAGTGCCGCTTAGCGTAGGCAACTCGAGCTTTGGGATTCTTTCGAATTATGCGTCTTTTGTGTGTGGCTTTGGAAGACAAGTCTCCGGAAAATATTAGAATTGCTAATTGACAGCTGAAAGAACAACTTGTGGCATGCACATATGACAGCAAATAAATGTACATACATACATATGTACATACGTTGTTGTGCATTGAAATGTGTTTATCATTAAAGCGACTTTACAGCAAGCAGATTTCGCTTGATTCGAGCTTTATATGAATCTAGCTCGATTGACAACGAAAAGATGCAGATGCTGTGTGATGTCTGCTACGAGTAGGAGTAATGATGGTCTATAACGATCTAGATAAATGAATCTTTGTACATACAACCCAAACAAATTTATGTATTTACGGCTACACCAATACATATAAATATAAATAGCAAAATACCGTGTAGAAAATAGAAAGTGAGAGTTAGTTATGTAAGTACACACGCAATTTATCGAAGCTTCATAGAAGTATTTATCGAAGATATATTGTGAGATATGTCGGAAATATTAAAGAAAGCTTTAACTGATAGAGTTACCACCTTTTTTCAACATCAAATTAATGAAATAAGTTTTAAGCTCAGTTTATATCCTTATAAGTATGTTATATGCGTGAGAAAACGCTTTTATCGCAATATTTTTAAAAGGATTGCGACTAAAATTTAAAAAAAAATTGTTATTATTAATTTATTAAACATCCTTATATTTCATGTAGCCTTCATAATTAAATTAAGAAAACGATAATTAACTGTCAAAGATGGTGGAAATTTTAGATAACTTTTCGGCAGAGTTACCACCTAATTGTTATTTATAAAGTAAGTTTTACATTCATATTATATTAATATATAGCCATAGTGCCTTATATGTATGCGATGATATTTTTAAAAGAGTTGCCAACAAAAATTCCAAAAAAAATGTTTGCTCTTAAGGTTGGTTCATTTACCCTCCCAATTTAATAAAAATATATAATTAGTTTAGGCATATGCTGAGTGATTTGAGATTTTTTTCAGAAGCGAGAGTTGCCAACTCATTATAAAATCAATTTTAAAAATTAAGTTTTAATTCCCTTTATTGCCGTATATGCATGGTATAGTTATATCTAAAAGAATACGTTTTTGAGGGGATATATTTAAAGGATTGCCATAGAAATACGAATTTAAATAGTTTTATTGAGGCATGGTTAATTTATTCTTTATAATTCGATCAAAGTGATTTGAAATAATGGCTTGATGATAAATATATCAGTTACTTATTAGCAGTCTGGCAGATTGGAAAGCAATATTGCGATGTATTGT